CTCTGACCTCCTTGCAGAAGAGCTTATTTGGTCCCTATAAACGTACCAAAATGGTGTTTGGGGCAGGGGGATTCCTTGCATGGAGTAAAATGAAGAGCAAATCCTTTGACGTCAGTGAGACTAGAGTTCATTAGGGGTTGCCAGTGAGCCCATTCTAATTACTGGTAGTCCTCCCTTACTGACTACTCATTTAGCAACCATTAGGAGTTGCGACAGCACTGAATAAGGACACTTACAGCTGATCCTCAAAGATGCAACCATCATAGCACCCCCGCAGTCACATGATCGTGAATTGGGCGCTTGGCAACTAGCATGCATTTACAAAGGTCACAATGTCCTGCAGTCACGTGATTGCCATTTACCACTTTCACAGCCAGTTTCTGACAAGCAAAATCAATGGGGAAGCCAGCAGGAAGTTGCAAGTTGCAGTCATGTGACATCACCCTTAATGATCATGGGTGATCCGCTTACAACCACAGCCAGAATTGACAAACTGACATCGTAAGTCAGGCAGAGTCACGTGACATTTCACTTTACAGCTGTGCTGCCTAGCAACGGAGTTGCTGGTTCCAATTGTAGTCGGCAAGTGAGGACTATCTGTACATCCAGACTGGGCTCCAACCTGCGTGACATACTGCTTGCTTTTCACTTATCATCCAAGCTACGGGCCCCCTCCTTGCTTCATTTTGCCTTCTCTTTTCCCACCCCACTGCCCACAACCGAGGATCCCTTTGCAGGGACCATCCAAAACATCTCTGCATTGGCATTACCCTGCTCCTGGGCACCCAAGTAGATAAAATAGCAAGCCAGACCAAGGGCAGCAGTGCCCTTCTCGCCTCCACAGCTCCTGCCCTGCTCTTAGATCAGCTGTGGGATTCTCATCTGCAGGCCTAAGCTTGCTTTAAAGCTTTAAAGCTTCTCCAAAAGTCTTGGGGGAAGCTTGCCCACTCCGTTTCCCTTCTTTCCTGCCCTTGGCCCTTTCGCCCCTCGACCAACCCCCCCCACTGGGAGGGCCGTTCAGAGGACTGCTGAGGCCTCCATCTGGTGGGCGGAGGATGTCTGGCATCCACCTCTGGGGGGGAAAGGTGCAAGCCTGGCCCTGCCCCTGCCCCCCACCCCTCTCCTTGGCTCAGGCAGCCTGCCTGGGGGTGCACTGGAGCAACCCACTGCATCTCCCACAGGCTGGCAGAAGGAATGGCTGGGTGGGAGATGCGAATCATCTTTCTGTAGAGTCGCACAGTAGCACAAGGGGTAAACAATGCTGAAAAAGAAAGGAAATGACATCACAGAAACTAACAGGGAAAAAATAGAACAATTGCAAGAAGAAAAACACACGGATAGATATGCTGAGCTTACATTAAGTGAAGATAGGTTGCTCTTTGAAACAGGTAGCCATAATTTAATGGGAGAAGCACAAAAGGCAGAGAGCCACCCTACTGATCCCCCCACCACCACATTTCAAGTCTGCACAAGAGCAGAGACTGGGCCTCATCCATTTTCTCCAGTTACTCACCAAAGACCAGTGGGCTGCAAGACTGGCTGAAGGATGGTGTTTGCTTCAGGTGTTAACCCTGCCTTTCTTCCACTGCCCCCAAAGAGAAACGACTCAGGGAGTGCGAAAGCAGAGCTGCCAGCCCACTGTACCTGCCCCCTGACTCTCCACGCCCAGGCCGATCCACGCTGGAGGAGAGGGGAATTCTGATCCTGTCCACCCCCAAGCAAGTCAGACGAACACTTGCCCAGCGAGGTCAGTCTGCAAGGCCCTGGCCCAGCTCCCTTGAACCCAGGAGCTGTGTGTTCACGGTGATCCCATCCTGCCTCTACCCAGGACCTGGAAAGGTCCTCAAGAGTCACCGCTACGGCTATGGCAAATGTCTCTGTACCCTTTAACCCCACTGCAGGCAAGCAGCACAGCGAACCCAGTGAGAGAGAGAGGGCACGTTCAGCTGAAGCTCCACCAGGGATCTTCCCTTCCACGTCTGCTGGCACTGGTGGGAAGCAAAGCCCGCGGCACAGAGGCATCTTTCTGAGCCAGGTGGACGAGCAGCCGTAAAGGTATCCGTTTGGGAAACTGCTGCAGGCCTTCACAGGGGTACAAGTATTACAGGCAGAGTCCCAGTGCAGCCACAACTCTTTATCCCCTGAAAGTCGTAGCCACAAAACCCATTTTTTCTGAGCTTCTGAAGCAAGCCTGAAAACATGGGGCCTAAAATGGGACCACTCACTGGAGGTGTTATTTTTATCAGTATGGATGTCCAAATGGAGCAGCAAGGCTCTTGGAGTGCTAGACCCAATTGAGGGAGGGCAGGACCAGCAGGAACAGGTAAGGGGTTCAGACTCAAGACTGTAAAAATGTTTTGCAATGCCCCGTTCAGCCAACAGGTGATGCCACAGGAACCCCAGCTCCAAAGGGAGGCTAACTGGCCAGTGCGCTCCGCCTCAAGAAACCTCCGCCTCACAGTCTTCACACTCCATCATCAATGGCTGACCTATGCAAACCGGCCCTCCAGAGTCCCAGTGCTTGGACCTGACCAAAAGGCCCAGGCTGTATTCCAAGACAGCCCTGCTCTCCAGAACATTCCCCATTGTTGGCCTGAAGCTTGAAGCAGCTTAGGTTGCCAGTCCTCCCCGAGTGAACTCTCCAACATCTTCCAGCCATGCAGTCGGAAGGGGGAAAGCATCTCCTTTTTTTCTGAAGACCTTCCCTCAAGAGAAGATGTTGACCCCTCCTGTTAGAAATGCCGGAGCTGCTCAATTCTTACCCAGGACAGTTTTCAGCTCAGTAAGACTGCGGAAGACACTCAAGATCAAGCTGTTCCTGGTCTAAAATAAATCCCCAATCTATGAGACTCTCCATGCAGTAGGATGTCATCAAAACTTTCTAAGGAATTGACTCAGAGAGTTGCATGTGTGCTCGGGCATTGCTCCAACTGCTGCTGCAGCAGCAAGAGGCAATGGATTCACATCAACCAGTTCACGAACCAACAGAACTTTGGGGAGCTGCTTCATATGCTGTTTACGTAAAGTGGGGGTTGAAGCAAACTGAGAGTTTCCTCCAAAAATAGGCCATCACCGCTAAAGAAAGAGCTGCCCCGCTCTTCAACTGCATGTGGGAATCTGATCTGGGTGGCTTGATCTCAGAGGATCCTTCCCGTGGATTCAGAGGAACACAAGAGGGTGGCAACCCACTAGAGCCACCCCGCACCAGCGACACATTCCTTGGCTCGCACTGCGGTCCTGAAGGCCTGGGGGCCGAGTCTCTCGTGCCAGCTGTCCTCCGTGCTAGGACAGCAGGCTTTGGGTGATCCTCCTGCTGCGCAGGGCCCTCACCTTGCCTCACCTCTGCCCTGGGCCATAATATACATGAAGCTGCTTGGACTGAATATCACTTTTGTGATCTGCTTTGTTCTTGTAAGACTGCAGTGTAAAATACATACATTTTTAAATAATATGTAAACCTGGGCGGCTGCAATTTCTGAGAATACTTTCCATTATACCAGTGATGCTTATAAGGTTCAAAGTGACCCTAGAGGTCTTTTCATCCAGGGCAGGAATCCTCATACCATCCCAGACAAGCGGTTGCCCGTTTGCTTGAAAATCTCCAGCGATGGACCACCACAACTCGGAAGGTAGGCTGTTCTACCACTTAATAGGCCTCCCGCTCAGGAAATCCCTCATTTTTCTTGGACCTCCCTCTCTAAAGCTTGGTTGTCGTCCTCCTCTCTGGAACTATGGAGAATCAATCGACGCCCTCTTCCCTGTGGCAGCCCTTCAAGTATTGGAAGTCTGCTATCGTGTCTCCCTCAGACTTCTCTTCTTTAGGCCCAGTTCCTTCCACCATTCCTCACAGGATTTAGCCTCCAAGGCTCTCACCATCTTCTCTGCACTCCTTTCAGTTCCTCAGCATCCTTCTTGCATTATATTGGCCAAAACTGGACACAGGGTTCCACTGTGGTCTGACCAGTGTAGCTAAGGCAGAACTATCACTTCTGTGATCTCAACATTCTACTTCTGTTGACGCAGCCCAAGACCGCATTGGCTCTTTTAGCAGCCGTGGCACACTGCTGGCTCATGCTAAATATATGTTCTACCAGGACACGCAGATGGGTACACTTGGCTCAGCAGTAGTACTGCTGGGCCAGATGTGCCCATGCTTCTGGTTTTTCCTAAGTGCCAAACTTTGCATTTCTTATCACTAGACACAATTTTGCTGGAAAGGGCCCAACATTCAAATATATCAAAATTCTTTTGGACCTAAGCCTGTCTTCTATGGTGCTAGCGAGCATCCCTTCTATCCTCTCATTTAAGTCATTCATAAAAATGTTGAAGGGCCCTGAACAGGACCCCAAAATACCCGAATAGATGTCTGTTACAGAACCATTAGTAACTATGTGTTGGGTACATTTGTTCAACCTGCTGCAAACCCACCCAGTAATGAGATTATCTATCCCACATGGTTTCATTTTATCAAGAAGGAAGCTACAGCCAACTTAATCAAATGCCTTACTGAAGCCTAGGTATACTACATCTGCAGTAATACCTTGGTCTATTAATGGTCTATTAGGTCCATGGTCTATTACTCAAGTAATTTTGTCAAAGAAAGCAGTAAAATGGCACAATATGTTGTTAACAAGCCTTCATGGCTTGTTCCCAAGTGTTGTATCAGAACAGCACTGTGTTTAATCCATGGAAGGGAAGAAATCTTTGGCCCAGGCAAGTGCCCAGAAACTCAGCCTGCAGGTCAGCATGTGATCCTCACTGAAGTAGCCTGAAGCCTTGCCAGGTAGACCAACCTGACACCTCTGGGATGTCCTGTGTTGCCAGGGCTGTTTGAAATGCAGAGTAGTGATCCCCCTATGGCTGCCACTGTATTTTATGGTCTTTTTCCTGTAGGGTTAGGGTTAACAACACATCCTATGCAAATAGCTCCTTAAATTGTCCAAAGTTTCACTGCTCCCTGGGAAGTGATCAGGACAGCCATAACACCTCCTGTTCACTCAAGAAGCATGCAAACTGGCATCCTCAGACTTCCGTATCAGAGGTGTTTCTTTGCTACTTCTTGGTCTCTGTCCACTTTCACCCTCTGCCCATCTTTTGCTGGGCAAATCCCAGCAAAGGCTTTTTTGTTTTTTATCACCTTAGCGTGCAGGTCATGGAACAATGGATGCAAGTGACTGAAAGGCAGATTCCCATGGAAAATTATAAGAACCTTCCAACAGTACAAGCAAAGGTAGAGAGAAGGTGGGCTCCCCTTCACTGGATGTGTTCAAGCAGAGGCTGGGAAGCCTCAACAAGGACTTCCACGCTGAGCAGAGGGCCCCCTTCCAAAGCTGGGGTTCACCTGAAGAGGTAGCTTTTCCTCCTTTCCCCAAATAGAGCAGAAAGACGAAAAAGGCACTGGTTTCACAGGGTGCAAGTAGCCCATTTAGTTCTAGAAAGTTCCTGAAGTTTGGAAGGAAACTAGTGCTATTCAACTCTGCCGAGCTGCATTTGCATTAGAACACGAAGACAGCCAAGTGCTTCTTCTTCTTCTTCACCTCTGTCTCCTTTTGGAAACGGAGATGAGACCCTCCTCCTAAGTCCCCACTGGGTTTTGTTACGGGGAGGAGGAAAGCAGGGAAACAGCTAGGAAAGGCCAGCTGAGGTTATACCAGTTCAGGATCAAGGGAGTCATTTGCTATTCCGGCTGGGAGGCAATTTTTGACATTCTACGCTCGGTATTCCAGGCTTGGCTACTGTCAGCCAAGAAGCACCAAACTGCACAGACCCTTGTTTACCTCGCTCATCCCACTCCCACTGTGTGCGGAGTCCGAGTTTCTGTGGCTTTACAGAGCTAGGTGGATTCTTCACACAAAAGCAAGGCTGAGATATCCACCCGCTTCCTTCCTCCAGCAACTACGCTCGCCCTTACTTACAGGCCTCCTGGCTGTTGACCACACAGCCCTCGTTCCTCAGACACAGGCCCGGCCAGCCATCTGTCCATATGCAGGAGACTTTATTGCACGCACCCTTGGCAGGTAGGTATCACCCGTACTCCACACATCTCAGGGTCCAAATGGAGTCCCATGCCTGTCCTAGCCCCAAACGGTACACAGGGGCAGGACAGAATAGTAAGCATGGGAGGGGGGAGGAATGTGGGCCAAAATGGGCAGGCAGCGGGTTAGGGAGTGAGGAGTTGGGACAGCCGTGAAGGCTCTGGGCAGAAGCCATGCAGTCTACACCACCACTAACGGACTGCCTCCTGCTGGCATGGTGGTCTCGGGCTCTTTCTGCTTCTAGCCTCAGAGCAGTTCTGCGAGGTAGAGGTTTCCCCCTGCACCAGCTACAGCCACAGGCTGCCCTTTGGAAGCTGAAGCCACGACATGAACTGGCTTGTTGGACAGCAGGATCTCCCCGATCACCTGCAGACAGCAAGGGACAACAAAGAGTGGGCGTGGACGGAGATCCTGACTGCAGATCTCCAGTCCCGTCAGCCAGCTGCATTAGTTCACAGACTCACCCCCCGGTTCCAACGGTCTCCCTAAATGCTAAGCCAGGCTCTCGACCACTCATCCACCTTACCTGGCCAGTTCCAGTATGGATAATCCCAGCTCCACTGGTCCCACTGCCCCCAGCCACCACCACATCCTCAGTGCAGAACTGAGCAGAATAGAGGAATTCTCCCTGGGTGGGGTTGCCAGGAAAGGGCACGTTTTGCCACAGTCGAGACATCCGCAGGTCCCAAAGTTGGAGAGCGTTGCGGGGTACCCAGGAGGCAGTCAGAACATGTTCTCTCTGTTTACGGGGGAGGCAAATGTGTGACTTCGCTGCCCTCTCTCTCTGGGATGCGATTTTCCTTTCCATTCAGAGTCTTCCGGTAACAGGTGGAGCGTTAAAACCCAAAGACAGAGCATACCGTTGACGCTCTGAACCCATTTGCACCCGATGCTTCTCGCCACAAGCCCAGAGAACGTAGCGCACAGACTCTGACAGGCTACCCTTTCGGCTCTCCTCATCCCCTCAGAGGAGCTTACTCTGCTGCGAGGCGGCTGAGGCTAACCGGCCGCCTGGCCCACGAGAGCCCCGCAGCTGCTCGGCCCGGAGGGCGGCGCCGGGGAAAACGCCAGCTCCGGCAGCGGGCCATTCGGCCGGCGGCCTCCGGACCCTCCAGCCCCCGAGCTCCTCCCGCCCCGTTCTGCCGCGCAGGAGCTAGGCGGGGACGCACCTGGAC